GGTGGCACTGGCCTATAATCTCAGCTACTTGGGAGGCTGAGGCAGGAGAACTGCTTGAACCCAGGAGGCAGAGGTTGCAGTGAGCCAAGATGGTGCCATTACCCTCCAGCCTGGGTAACAAGAGTGAAACTCTGTCTCAAAAAAAAAGAAAAAAAAAGATTCCAACAGGGCCAGTACTCACAGTGACAAATCATTCCGACCTCTCCAACAGCCTATCAGTTTAGACAGTTTGACCATTTTAAAAAACTGAACTGACCAATTTTTTCAATCTAAGTCCCAGGTTGTATCCTTAACCCAGACCACCCATTGCTCAAATGCATGTTGTTAGAAACAAAAAGGGCAGCTCTATGAGTAAGAATGAATCACCATAAAATGATACGCTACCACACAAAAATGACTTGATGAGAGTAAAAAATCATGAAACAGTGGTATAAACTGATCTCATTTCTGAGATGTTTTATCCTGATATACAGACATATTCACAGAGAAAAAGCACAAAAGAAAATATGCCAAAATGTTAAAAATGATTACTTGAATTTATGTGTTTATTCAACCTTTACTGAGCAACAAGAATGTGGCCTCTGTGCTAAATGCTGGGGATACAGTAATTAATCACACATATAAGGCTGCTGTTCTGGTAAAGCATTTATAATTCAGAAGTGACAATAATAAAGAAGGATCAATAGAATGAGAGAAGATGAACCTAATCTATTATAGGGGTCAGTCAACAAGGCCCCAAGAAGGGAACATTTAAACTAAGGATAAGCAGGAGTGAGTCAGACAGCAGAGTAAGATCGTAGAAATAGCATGACAGATTACTTTTATTTTCTTCTTTTTGATTATCTATAATTTATTTATTTTTTCTTAATGAACAAGAGTTCTTATTGTTGTGTTGGTAATATCTTCCTACTTTAAGACAGACTATGCTTTCCGATCATACCAAAGGTTTCAGTCAATTTCTCAGTGTTTATTTGGGGCCAGCTGTGGGTCCCATACTCTCCTAGCCACTAGGAGTTGCAAATGTAGAACAGAGCAAAATATCCCAAAATCTTAGAATTGAGGAAAAAACCTTAGAAAACATCAACAAATTATCTTAGTCAAGAAACAGACCGAGAGAGATCAAGCATTTTATCCAGGACCACAGCACAAGAGCAGTCAGCCCCACACAATGGTCAAATGCTTTGACAAGTTTGTTTTCTGTTTCCTCTTTAAACTACCAATCCAATATGTGGTTTTTTTAATCTGGTTGGCTAGTAACTAAAAGTGATTATAACATATAGTCATTGGCAACCAAGATGTTATTACAAGGACACAGTGAGAAGCCATTGTTCATCTGCTGCATTAAGAAAATAATTTAATGAAGTAAAAGGCTACTTTTATGAGGGTGTGGAAAAACTGACAGTTTCAGACATTACTGATTGCTATCGTTTGAATTTGTCCCCCAAAGTTCATGTGTTGGAAAGTTAATCCTCAATGCAACAGTGTTGAGAGGTGGGACATTTAAGGGGTTATTAGGTCATGAGGGATCTGCCCTCATGCATGGATTAATCTTGAGTAGTTTCCTGATAAAAGGATGAGCTTGGCTTCTCTTCCCTCTCTCTCTCTTGCCCATGCCTTCTGCCACGTTATGATACAGCTAGAAGGCCCTCAGCTTCTAGAAGGCCTTCAATCTTGGACTTCCCACCCTCCAGAGCGGTGAGGCAAATAAACTTCTATTGTTCATAGATTATGTGTGATATTCTGTTATAGCAAGAAAGAATGACTCTATAAGACACTGTCAATACTGCTAATCAGCACATCCCAACTTAATATCAGTGTGGTAGTATATTTCAAAAGCCATAAAAATGATAGAACTCTTTGGTCCATTTATGTGACTGTTATCCTAAAGAAATAGATTACTTCTGGTATACCTATAGGCAATTAAAAATAATGGCTATGGGGACTCTACAGTAGGAAGGAAAAGCTAAGAGTTTAATATGGATGATGTTTATATTTCCACCATATTTATGGCCATAGTTAAAAAGAAGCCTGTAACCTGGATCTCTACTCTAAACCACCAGAATTGTTTTCTCCAAAGCCCGCATAAGTGCCTAGTTGCTGAATCCAGTGAACATCTGACTGTGGGGAAGCATTTAACACCACAGCTTCTTGTTGGGCCCCTAAACCCCCTTTCCTCCTCTTATTCAGTTTGGTGGTCTCCAAGGACCAAGCCCAGGTTATTTCCTCCATTCCCTCAACACTCTTACAGAGGGATTTTTCACATCTTTTTCCAAACTGGCTTCCACTTCCATCTACAAGCCAAGGATTCCAAAATCCTGACCATTTGGACCACTTTAGACAGAACCTCCCCTTAGTGCACAGAGTCACCAGTCAGCTTGATATTTCCATTTGGATACTACCCAGGCTCCTCAAATCATTAAATCTAAATGGAACTCTTTCCCACCAAAAGCTGTTCTCTTTCTATCTCTCATCATTGCTACTGAAACCACTCCCATCACTTCCCCTTACTTGAATGATGACCACAGTAATTCCGTAATGGGTCCCACTGTCCCCAGTTTGTCCCCACCCCTGACACAGTTGACAGAATAATCCTCCTTAAGCATAAACCCTGTCATTCCTGACTTAGGTCCTTCAATGGCTCTCTGCCTGCAGTGTGAAGCCCACCTTCTTGGCTGGTACATGAGATCTTTCCTAATTTGACCTCTGCCCACACAACAGCACCCCTCACACACTCTTCTCTCTGCACTTATCAACCAAGTGCAACTGCCAAAACATGCGGCTTTCTCCTGCTTTGGCACACACTAAACCCTGTAAGTGTCACAGATCCTCAAGGGTCTGCTTCCCTGAACTGAATTTAAGAATCACTCCTCCAGGAAGCCTTCTTTGACTGTCTTCTGTGATCTCACAGCATCTATTTCAAAATCTTTACCCTACCTGTAAACATCTACAATGTTTTATTACTGGTCAGTTTTCCCCAAGAGCTCCTTATGAATGGGGAGTGTACCTTCCACATGTGTGGCTAGAGCCTCCCACAGTGGGAAATGAGGTGAAAGAAAAAACAAAGCAGATGATGACAATAACTTATTACAATGACAGGGAAGTATGTGCTTATTTTTTCCCTTCCTTGTTTTCCATATTGTTTAGTACGTGGATTATATTATTTTGACACATTTTTAAAAATCAGTTCATTTTTAAGATGTGTCCAATCTCTCCAAGCTAGCTCTAGTAAAATAACTTATTGCCCAAGTTAAGTCAACTTCAAGTTCCTCTTTCCTCAGACCCTTTAGGCTCAAGACCCCCACCTCAAGCTTTACAAATCCAGGATTCTACTTTCTGCAAAGTAAAAAGGCTTACTCCAACATTTTCAGCAGACAGAAGGACCACCCACACACCAAAAAATTCCTTGGCCTTGAAAACGTTTCATTGCTCTTGTAGCTGAGTGCCAAAACCCATTTTTGGCCAAACATTAATTTGTCAGAACCTCACTGTCTTCACAGCCTGAACACACAAAAAAATGAGGTGCTCTGACAACCTTGCCACAGATTTATAGGAGACATAGATGATGGGACTTCTGACTGATAAGTCCATCACCTTGTCAGCTTAAGACATCAGTGAAAGATGGGAGTTGGGGAAAGACTATGAAAATTCCCCCTCCGTCCCTTTAAAAAAAAACCAAAAACCAAAACATTAATTATCTTCTCAGGTATCCAAAAGTTCAACCATGCACCACTGGCTTTTAATTCTTTTAAATTTGTGAAAAATAATCCAGCTACATAATGTTCAGTCTGACATTTGCTATTATTTTTCCCTAAAAGAAAACAAAAACCTGATTAGTTCCAAAAATAAAATATAAAGAAGAACTCAGATGAGAAGCAAACCCTGTGGCTTAGAAACCATTGCTCTGATTAACAGCACATAAGTGTTACCTGACGAATGGGTTCCTGTCTTAAATGCAATTATCACAAATTTCTTGTGATTCCCCACTGTTTTTATGGTTTATGCCCAGCTCTCAAAGCAACAAATTTAATAGCAATAAAGCAAAGGACTGCTTCTCATCTCAGTCAGCAGAGACATCAGAGGGAAATGCAGAGCCCTGGCTCCACAGCTATCCAGGAATGTACCTGCTTCTCCACCCTCAAAAGTCCTTGCATACACCCATGAAGGGGTGATTTTCACAGTTAAGCCCATCGACAGGGCCTGCTGCGACAATCAGGGCCTCTGTCCTCAGGAAACCCCCTCCTGGCGCTGAGGGCCTATTTCCTGGGGACACGGCCCCCATGCTGTTGGCAGGGCCAAACAAGGTGCTTCCGGTGGGGCGGAAGCACCACCAGGTCAAGGGTTCTGGCAGCAGTGGCTCAACCGCAGGGCCACGGTCATGCAAATCAGCCACCTGGCCAACGTAGCAAAACCCCAACTCTGCTTAAAAAAAAAAAAATGGCCGGGCGTGGTGGCGCGCCTGTAGTCCTAGCTACTCAAGAGGCTGAGGCTGGAGAATCGCTTGAACCAGGGAGGCAGAGGCTGCAGGGAGGCGAGGCTGCAGTGAGCCGTGATCCCGCCACTGCACTCCAGCCTGGGCAACAGAGCGAAACTCGGTCTCAAAAAAAAAAAAATCAAATTAGGAATAACTTCCTCCAGGAAACGGGGGTAAAAAAGAAATAGAGGAATTATGGGGAGTGGGAGGAGGGTCATGTGGTCTTTTTACTAGAGAACTGAAAGGGGCTGGCAGGCATCTTTGTCACTGAGAACATACTCTAAACAAGCAGCAACATTTAGAAGGTCTAATTTCCAAGATTCTTGATTGAACTCAAAAGTAGGGATGCCTATGGGTAGCCATCATCATCACCTGGAAACTTGCCTCGTGTTGATTAATTACATTCTTACCACAGAGAAGAAGAGTAATTAAAAAGGAGAAAAATGAAATATGAAAGCAGGTCAAAGAGGATCAAATGACTGATTCAAGGCCACCTGACCAACAAGACATTGTCACAGCAGGAGACACCTTTGTGCTTCATCCACCAGTAGTTTATTGCAAAGTGAAGTTTTGGTTCAGAACAAAAGGGAAATAAGTTCACTAAGATGAACTACTGTACACGAATTAATGAAGTTGATGCAACAGATAGTAACATGTATTTAATATTAACTATTCAGATGTTCAAGCTGTACAGTTTTTTTCAGGTGTACATACAACATAATTATATCAAAACAAAGTTAATTTTTATAAAATATGATTTCCTTAAGAACTGAAGATGCTAAAAAGCTCCAACCACAAATTAATCAAATATTTGATGCCCATTTAAAGATACTATTAAAGATCTGACAAATACATAAGTAACACAGCTGAACGAGAAAAGACCCAAATGACTGCATATTTCACCAATCCCGTATTAAAATAGAAAACGTCACATAAATTGAGCTGATTTGAAATCTTTTTATTAGAAAATAAAAGCTATGTCAATGTAAACCATCATTCCTAAAACAGCTACCAAACAATATAATTATTACCTTAAATCCCAAACAATAATACAATCTTTTCCATCCACATTATCTTCCTCATTGGTTGAATCCATTAAGGATGACAGTTAATGGTAGTTATGTATATACAGTGGAAATAGTAAAACTGACCACACACACAATTGAATCACTACTCTCATTGAGAATAGGGTCAATAAAAATAATGGTTAAAACCAATATATATCTGTTCAATCACTTGCTATCTTTAGCAGTTAAAGTCAAACAACACACACGTATTAATTTTTTTCCATAAAATCTTTACATGTTGAAAATACTTTTTAATCCATGTCCAGATAATTAACAATGAAAAGACACTTCATCTTCTTTCTTATATCCATGGACTTTGTATCAGACTTGCATTCACTAGGTGCACAGAAAGAGCAGTAAATGAAAAGGCAATTTGACCATAAACTGTTTGCAAGACAGAAGTGTTCTATTTTAAGGCAAATATCTTTATCACACACATACATAGCAATTTATCCATTAATGAATCTTATATGGCAGTATCAACCAAGAAACTGAGGTATAACTTTACCCAACAGAAGTACAAATGTCATAAGTACAAATGTGAAGACATTCTCAATGTACTTAACATTTTTTACTCATAACTAAAGAACTCTTCTCAAAGTTCTTATATGCCCAGAAATACCCGAGATTCTCAATTCTAGAAAAAATACTAGAAATTAAATACTCTAATACCTTTGCATAAGTCTCTCCATATAAGGCTACCTTTGATATAAGGCTACTTCGACGTATTTTCTGATAATAGTAAAAATGTGCAACCAAATTCAAGGTATTCTGAAACTGAAGAAAAAGGTCTTGGTCTCAAGAGGGATAGTGAGGTGGTTAGTTTATTGATCAAAATTAAACTTAAGCTAAAAATCAAATTTAAAATGAATCAAATAAAAACATTTCCTGGCCAGGAGTGGTGGCTCATACCTGTAATCCCAGCACTTTGAGAGGCTGAGGTGGGTGGATTTGCTTGAGCCCAGGAGTTTGAAACTACCCCAGGCAACCTGGTGAAACCCCATCTCTATAAAAAATCCAAAAATTAGCTGGGTGTCGTGGCATGTGCCTGTAATCCCAGCTATTTGAGAGGCTGAGGTGGGAAGATCACTTGAGCCGAGGAGGTTGAGGCTGCAGTGGGCCGTTCTCTTGCCACTGTACTGAAGCCTGGGCTTCAGAGTGAGACCCTGTCTCAAAAAAAAAAATTCTTTCAACATAAAACTGAACTATCATGATATAAAAATGGTTGAATGCATAAGGTATTTTTTAGTGCAAAACAGACATTTATCTTTACATAAATAATTTAAATAGAATATAATCCATAACTTGGTATTCATAATATATATTTAAAATCTATATTCTGTGACCTTACAAAAGTAAATCTATCCTTTACTCTCAAGTTAAAAATGGCCAAAAAGTTTACCTTCGGAGATTTCAAGTCAATGGCTTTCTAAAATGAAGGATAATACAAATCTAAGTCACAGGCCATTTGGCACATTAACATGTAAGCCATCAGTTTTGGGCTGTAAAAGCAAAAAATAATTAATTACAACATAAATTGGAAAAAATGTACTCCGGATTTATGCTCTAGTCCAAAGACTTACAGTGTCTATATTCAGACTATTCAATAATTAAGAATTATTGAACAGTCTGATGCAATGACATTCAGTGAAAACAATCTGATTACTAACTGCATTCATATTCAAAATATTTTCCCTAAAATAGAAATAGAAAGTATTCATCATCCCAAATATGAACTACTAAGAAGGCAGACTTTTTTTTTTAAGTTTAGGCCAGGCACTGTGGCTCATGCCCATGATCCCAGTACTTTGGGAGGCCAAGGCAGGTGGATCATTTGAGGTCAGGAGTTTGAGACCATCCTGGCCAACATGGTGAAACCCCATCTCTACTAAAAATACAAAAATTAGCTGGGCATGGTGGCACATGCCTATAATCCCAGCTTCCCAGCTACTCAGGAGGCTGAGGCAGGAGAATTGCCTGAGCCTGGGAGGCAGAGGTTGCAGTGAGCTGAGATTGTGTGCCACTGCACTACAGATTCAGCAAGAGAGAGACCCTGTCTCAGAAAAAAAAAAAGTTTGACAATTACTGCACTCATTTCCTCTACCAAACTCTCAGTAACATTAAGAGAAAAAAACTCGAATTATTTTCACCTAACAATTTAATCAAGTACTCTAGAAAAATGTTCTAATGGGAATTTTGATAGGAATTGCTTATTTCATTTCCAAATGAGATCAAAAGAAAGGAAACAAAAGGGGATTCAGAAAATTAGACTAGCTAGCTTAATAAATAATAAGAATAAACATTGAAACAGCTGCATATGAAGAAACCAGAAAGATCCACAACTCAAATACCACTTCCACAATAATGTCAGTGATGTGAGGTCTCTGACTGATTCATACAGAAACAGGCACAAGGCTAGGTGTGGTAGCTCGTGCCTGTAATCCCAGCACTTTGGGAGGCCAAGTCAGGTACATCACTTAAGGTCAAGAGTTTGAAACCAGCTTGGCCAACATGGTGAAACACCATCTCTACTAAAAATATATAAATCAGCCGGGTGTAGTGGCACACTCTTGTAATCCCAGCTACTTGGGAGGCTGAGGCAGGAGGATCACTTGAAACCAGGAGGTGGAGGTTGCAGTGAGCCAAGATCATACTACTGCACTCCAGCCTGGGCAACAGATCAAGACTCCATCTCAAAAAGAAAAAAAGAAAAAAAAAAGGCAAGAAGCACCCTCAAGTCAAATCTCACAGAGTTGCTCCTTTGCAAAAATGTCCCCTAACAATCGGGGGAGAGTTTGGTATAAGACAAGAGGAGCTCTAAGAGTAAATACCAAGATAGATGCTCTTTTATTTGAAGAGATCTAGAAATCTGCTTACTTGGTAATTAGCTGAACATGCCAATGACTTCAATTCAAACACTCACCTTTCTAGAGACAGCCACAGGTCAGCCATGTCCTCTGGCCACAGAATGATTCATTTTTGTTATAACTGTGGCTAATCCCAACAGCAATTTGAGCTTAGAGTAAAATTCATTTTCTACTCTTGAGGATACCAGACAGGTCAATCACTGTGACATCTAAGTACTTCTACTTCCTTCTCATCATGTCCAACCAGCAAAATGTCATGAACACGGTGGGCCAGGGTGTTACTCTGCACAGTCTCTGTGGACCATAGGATACTTCCAACACTTTCTTCTAAAAGAAACTGTCCTGCCCACAGCAATCACCTCACCCAAAATCACTGCTTCCTCCAGGGCAGGGAGCCTGGCTTGTAAAGCCTCTCCCCAACCCAGGTGATGATAAGACTCAGCTAATTCTGCTCTGGAATCTGAAGATGGAAAGTACAAAGAGAATCAACAAGTGAACCTCAAGTAAAGAAGATACTGGAAAAGAAGAAGAGATACCATGCAGGTGAGGGTGACGTCAGACCCTGAGAGGGAGGAGGAAAGAGAACAGAACCACCAGACTCGGCTGGCAGCTACGGTTGTGTCCTTACAATCATCACCCCATTACCTCCAGTGACCTGTGTTTTCCTATAACAAATGAATCTATAAATACAGAGGGGAAGATATATTTTTGAGAGGCTACTGACTACAATTTCTTTTCTCTAAGCAAATTTTATTGAGATAACCAACTAGGGGGCCAGACATGGTGGCTCATGCCTGTAATTCCAGCACTTTGGAAGGCCAAGGCAGGCAGATCACTTGAGCTCAGGAGTTCAAGATCAGCCTGGGCAACACAATGAGACCCTGTCTCTACAAACAATAAATAAAATTAACTGAGCATCATGGTGCATGCCTGTAGTCCTAGCTACTTTGGGAGGCTGAGATGGGAGGATTGCTTGAGCCCAGGAGGTTGGGGCTACAATAAGCTATGATTGTGCCACTGCCCGCAAGCCTAGGCAACAGAGATTGTCATTAAAATAAATAAATAAATATGTGTGTGTGTGTGTGTGTGTGTGTGTGTATATACATATATATAAGCTAACCAACTAAAATCAGAGGTTTATTTTCAAAATATTTAAAAATATTAACCAGGCCAGGTAAGGTGGCTCATGCCTATAATCCCAGCACTTTGAGAGGCCAAGGCAGGAAAATCACTTGAGCTCAGGAGTTTGAGAGCAGCCTGGGCAACACAGTCAGCCCCTGTCTGTACAAAAAAGTTAAAAATTAGCCGAGTGTGGTGATATGCACCTGTAGTCCCAGCTACTTGGGAGGCTGAGGTGGGAGGATCACTTGAGCCCAGAAGGTGGAGGCTGCAATGAGTCATCATGCTGCTGCACTCTAGCCTGGGCCACTGTGTGAGATTCTGTTTCAAAAAAAAAAAAAGACAAAACACCCAAAACAAACAAACCAAAAAAAGTATTAAGCAAAAATAAAAGACCGCCAGGCCAGGAGTGGTGGCTCACACATGTAATCCCAGCACTCTGGGAGGCAGATCTCTTGAAGCCAGGAGTTTAAGACCAGGCTTGCCAACCCCATCTCTACTAAAATTACAAAATTTAGCCAGGTGTACACACACCTGTAATCCCACCTGCTCGGGAGGGTGAGACACGAAAAATCACTTGAACCCAGGAGGTGGAGGTTGCAGTGAGCCAAGATCGTGCCACTGCCCTCTAGCCTGGGCAGACAAAGCAAGACCCTATCTCAAAAAAAAAAATTATAAAATATTAATACATTTTAATGAAAAAGTTGCCATAATTTTCATTACTTTATAAAATTTTAGGAGTTGTAGCCATTATTCAAACAGTCAATGACTAATTAGTGGGGATCCTGCTATTCCTAAGAATAGCTGTTATCAATAGTACTGAATAAATTTATTTTACAGTTACGGCAAAGTCCATCTCTCTTTGAAAGCTTTTTTTTCCCTGAACATTTTAAATAAATATGTAACATTACAAATGTAGTATGCCCAGAATCTTGGACCATAACTCCATTAGGTTTGATATACACATTTGCATTGAAGATTAATATGTGCCTAGAACATTCACAAGATTTATTTAAAATGTAGCCATTAACCAAAGGCCTCTGGGGCATATGTACAAAATTAGAGAACTGTAAGTATTCAGTCAAAAACTACATTAGAAATATTACTCATGAAAAAATGCCAGCGGGGCTTTATCTATTAAAAGTTAGTAAAAACCAGAAAACTCGCAAGTGAGCTTCCAACCATTTGAGGAAATGTTGTTTGCAGATAATATTAAGCTTTTCACTGATTTTAGTAACATAATTTCCAAAAGGAAATTCCACTTATGATGACGAATCACATTAAAAAATCTGGGCTTGGAGCCAGGCACAGTGGCTCATGCCTTTAACCCCAGCATTTTGGGAGGCTGAGGCAGACAGACCACCTGAGGTCAGGAGTTCGAGACCAGCCTGGCCAACATGGCAAAACCCCATCGCTAATAAAAATACAAAAACTGTCCAGGTGGCTCACGCCTGTAATTCCAGCACTTTGGGAGGCCAAGGCGGGTGGATCACGAGGTCAGGTGTTTGAGACCAGCCTGACCAACATGGTGAAACCCTATCTCTACTAAAAATACAAAAATTAGCTAGATGTGGTGGCAGGTGCCTGTAATCCCAGCTACTCAGGAGGCTGAGGCAGGAGAATTGCTTGAACCTGGGAAGCAGAGGTTGTAGAGAGCCAAGATTGTGCCATTGCACTCCAGCCTGGGCGACAGGGCAAGAATCCATCTCAAAAAAACAAACAAACAAAACAAAACAAAACAAAAAACCCAAATATTAACCAGGTATAGTGGCACATGCCTGTAATCCTAGCTACTTGGGAGGCTGAGGCAGGAGAATCACTTGAACCTGGGACATGGAGGTGGCAGTGAGCCAAGATCATGCCACTGCACTCCAGCCTGGGTGACAGAGCAAGACTGCGTCTCAAAAAAAAAAAAAAAAAAATCTGGGGTTAGTATTTGTGTAAAGGACCCTCAGAATGGATCTTTTGAGGGCTTTTTGCAGGTAGAAGGATCTCTCAGAACGTATTTGTCAGGGTGAGGCCAGTTGATGGTCATCTCTGTGTACCCCACAGTGACCAGCACAGAAGTGACACTTGTTAGGCAAATGCTCCTGTTTTGTGCACACAAAAGATTAAAATTAAACAACAACAAGAAGACCCAAAACTTTTCCTAGGGCAATGTTGCAGGTTAATTAACCATCAAGTCTTGTTTTCGGAATACACCCTCCATCCCAGTAATTCAGTGGTACTTGTGCTTCCTGTAAGTACTATGGAAAGATAGGATTAAACACTGTTGGGAAATCCAGTTCCAGGAAATTCAGAGCTGTTTCTCAGCTCTTCTGCCAAAGCATTCCCAAGACAGGTGAAGAAAGAGCACTGAAAGAGTTCTAACATTGACAATTCAAGGACATAGAGGCACCTTGTATCCACAACCTCCAACATTCTCTCCCAGGACCCTGAAATAACTGAGTTTGAGAAGCATGAGGTCAGGTAATAAGGAGGCTCTACAATGAACCAACCAATACAAGCAAGGAATTTTTTATCTCTCATCATGTCTGTGTGTCTCTGTAGCTTTAGGCAAGTGAACACAAACTCAAATTAACTTGGGTTAATGAAGAGAATCAGTTTAATGAATTTAGAAAACATTAAATGTATATCAATTGAAGAACTGTTTAAAAACCATCAACAAGCACTTCTATGGCTTCAACTTGACAAGTTTCTTGTAAAGATTTTATCTTGGCCGGGCGCAGTGGCTCAAGCCTCTAATCACAGCACTTTGGGAGGCCAAGGAGGGTGGATCACAAGGTCAAGAAATCGAGATCATCCTGGTCAACATGGTGAAACCCCATCACTACTAAAAATACGAAAAATTAGCTGGGCATGGTGGCACATGCCTGTAATCCTACCTACTTGGGAGGCTGAGGCAGGAGAATTGCCTGAACCCAGGAGGCGGAGGTTGCGGTGAGCCAAGATTGCGCCATTGCACTCCAGCCTGGGTAACAAGAGCGAAACTCCTCTCAAAAAAAAAAAAAAAAAATAGGTTTTATCTTATTTTATTTATTTATTTTTAGGAGTGAGTCTTGCTCTGTTGCCAGGCTAGAGTGCAGTGGCTCAATCTCGGCTCACTGCAATCTCTACCTCCCAGGTTCAAGTGATTTTCTTGCCTCAGCCTCCTGAGTAGCTGGGACTACAAGCCTGTGCCACCACACCCAGCTAATTTTTTTGTATTTTTAGTAGAGACAGGGTTTCACTATGTTAGCCAGGATGGTCTCAGTCTCCTGACCTCATGATCCACCCACCTCGGCCTCCCAAAGTGCTGGAATTACAGGCATGAGCCACCGAGCCTGGCTCTTGTAGAGATTTTAAAACTCACTTCAACAAAATGAATTTCCTGATATAGACAGTATAACTCAACTCACAATGTCTGTCCATTCCTTCATTAAAACACAGAATCCAATACCCTTTCATGATTTAAAAAATAAAACACTCAACAGACCAGTAATAGAAGGATACTTCCTCAACCAGGTAAAGGGATCTATGGAAAAACCCACAACATCATACTCAGCAATGAAGGACTTGAATCTTTCCCCCAAGATCAGGAATAAGGCCAGGATGTCCACTTCTATTTAACATTGTACTGTAAGTTCTAACTCGGGCAATTAGATAAGAAAAAGAAGATACTCAGATTGAAAAGAAAGAAATAAAATTATATCCGGTTGCAGATGGCATGATCTTACATATAGAAAACTCTAAAGAATCCTTAAATAACTATTGGAGCTAATAAAGAGTTCAACAAGTATGATGGTTAATTTTAGGTGTCAACTTGAAAGGATTAAGGAATAGCTAGGGAACAAGTAAATTATTACTGCTAGGTGTGTCTGTGAGGGTGTTCCAGAGATTGGTGTGTGAGTCGGTGGGCTGAGTGGGGAAGAGCTACCATCAATGTGGGCAGACACCATCCAACTGGCTGAAGGGCCAGGCACAGTGGCTCATGTCTGTAATCCCAGCACTTTGGGAGGCCAAGGTGGGCAGATCACTTGAGGTCAGGAGTTCAACACCAGCCTGACCAAAACAGTGAAACCGTCTCTACTAAAAATACAAAAATTAGCTAGGTGTGATGGCACACCCCTGTAATCCCAGCTACTTGAGAGGCTGAGGCAGAAGAATCACTTAAACCTGAGAGGTGGGGGTTGCAGTGAGTGAGCCTTCATGGCGCCATTGCACGCTAGCCTGGGTGACAGAGCAACACTCCATCTCAAAAAACAAACAAACAAACAAAACAATTGGCTGAAGGACCAGATAGAACAAAAAAGACAGAGAAAAGGTGATTTCTTCTCTTTCCCTTAGAGCTGGGAACACTCTTCTCCTACCCTTGGACATCAGAATTCCAGACTCTCTGGCCTTTGGACTGCAATAACAAAAACAAAATACTTGGGAATAAGTTAAACCAAACAAATGCAAAACTGTTACACTGAAAACTATAAAACAGTGTTGAAATAAATTAAAGAAGACCTAAGCGAATGGAAAGGCACCTCATATTCATAGAAGACTCAGTATCAGTAAAATGCTACTCCCTTAATTTATCTACAGATTCAATGTATTTGCTATCAAAATTTCAACTGGATTTTTTTGCAGATATGGACATACCAATCCTAAAATTCATATAGTAATACAAGGAATGGCCAGGCGCTGTAGCCTACACCTGTAATCCCAATACTGTGGGATGCTAAGGTGCTAAGACTGCTTGAGCCCAGGAGTTCAAAATCAGCCTGAGTACCACAGGGAGAGCATGGTGGTACAAGCTTGTGCTTCCAGCTGCTCAAGAGGCTGAGATGGGAAGAGCCCTTGAGCCCATGAGGAGGCTGAGGTTACAGTGAGCTGTGATCACAGCACTGCACTCTAGCCTGGGCAACAGAGTGAGACACTGCCTCAAAAAAAAAGAGAGAGAGAAAGAAAGAAAGATAAAAAAGAAACAAAAAAATGCAAGGGATGTGGAATAGCCAAAATAATTTTTAAATCTCTTGAACCCAGGAGGCAGAGGTTACAGTGAGCCGAGACTGCACTACTACACTCCAGCCTGGGCAACATAAGTGAAACTCCATCCCCTCCCCGACCAAAAAAAAGGAAGACTCATACTTCCTAATTACCAAACTTACTACACAAAGATACAATCTTTTGTATTGTTCTGGCATAAAAATTGACACACAGATCACTAGAATAGAATTGAGTCAGAAATAAACCCACACATCTAACTAAGGTCAACTGATTTTTGACTAAAGTACCAATATCGTTACATGGGGAAAGACTGATCTTTTCAACAACTGGATATCTACATGCAAAAAATTAATAAAATTGGACTCCTACTTCATAACATATGTAAACATTAACTCAAAATGGATCAAAGACCTAAAGATAAAAGTTAACACTAAAAACAGGGCCGGGTGAAGAGGCTCACTTCTGTAATCCCAGCACTTTAGGAGGCCAAGGTGGGTGGATCACCTGAAGTCAGGAGTTCGAGATCAACCTGGCCAACCTGGTGAAACCCCATCTCTACTAAAAATACAAAAATTAGCTAGGCATGGTGGTGCACACCTGTAATCTTAGCTACTCAGAAGGCTGAGGCAGGAGAATGGCTTGAACCAGGGAAGGAGAGGTTCCCGGGTTCAAGCCATTCTCAACGGTGAGCCAAGACTGCACCACTACACTCCGGCCTGGGCGACAAGAGCGAAACTCCATCTCAAAAAATAAAATGAAATAAAATTCTTAAGAAAAAACATAGGAGTAAATCTTCATGGCCTTTGGTTTATTAGATATGACACCAGAAGCAAAAGAGACAAGAGAAAAAACAGATGAATTGGGCAGCATCAAAATTGAAAACGTGTGCTGCAAATGATACATACCACTAAAAAAGTGAAAAGACAACCCTCAGAATAAGCGAAAATATTTGCAAATCATATATTTGATAAGGTCTAGTATCCAGAATAAACTCTTAAAATCCAACAACTTTTTTTAAAACCTATTTTTTTTTTAAAGGCAAAGGGTTTAAATAGACATTTCTCCAAAGAATAGATGAGAAGACAACCAACAGCATTAGTCATTAGGGAAACGGAAGTCATAACCACAGAGAGATAACCACTTCATACCCACTGTGATGGCTATTATTTTTATGCTCATCATCCCTGGTCATTAGAGAAATGCAAAGCAAAACCACATTGAGATACCATCTCATGCCAGTTAGAATGGCGATCATTAAAAAAATCTAGAGACAACAGATGCTGGAGAGGATGTGGAAAAATAGGAACACTTTTACACTTTTGGTGGGAGTATAAATTAGTTCAACCATTGTGGAAGACAGTGTGGCGATTCCTCAAGGACCTAGAAATAGAAATTCCATTTGACCCAACAATCCCATTACTGGGTATATATCCAAAGGACTATAAATCGTTCTACTATAAGGACACATGCACACAAATGTTCATTGCAGCACAGTTTACAATAGCAAAGACCTGGAACCAACCCAAATGTCCATCGACGATAGACTGGACTGGGAAAATGTGGCACATATACACCATGGAATATTATGGAGCCATCAAAAACGGTGAGTTTGTGACCTTTGTAGGGACATGGATGAACCTGGAAACCATCATTCTCAGCAAACTGACGCAAGAACAAAAAATCAAATACCGCATGTTCTCACTCATAGGCGGGTGTTGAACAATGAGAACACATGGACACAGGGAGGGAGGCACTACACACTGGGGTCTGTTGGGGGGAAATAAGGGAGGGACAGCGGCGGGTGGAGAGTTGGGGAGAGATAGCATGGGGAGAAATGCCAGATATAGGTGAAGGGGAGGAAGGCGGTAAATCACACTGCCACGTGTGTACCTATGCAACTATCTTGCATGCTCTTCACATGTACCCCAAAACCTAAAATGCAATAAAAAAAGAAAAATAACAAAGAGTTGGGAAGGATGTGGAGAAACTGGAACCCCCACACATCGCTGGTGGGAATCAAATTGCTCGGCTGCTTTGGAAAACAGTTTGGTAGCTCCTCAAAAAGTTAAACATTAGCATCTAACCTGGCAATTCCATTCCTAGGTATATATCCAAGAGAAAAAGAAACCCTATGTCCACATGACGATTTGTACATGAATGTTCATAGCAGCATTATTCATAACAGTCAAAAAGTAGAAACCAGCAAGTGTCCATCAACTGATGCATGGATCAACAAAATGCAGACTACACATATGATGAAACATTATTCAGTTATAAAAAGGAATGATATACTGATACATACTACAACATGATTGAACCTTGAAAACATGACACTAGGTGAAAGCAGCCAGACACAAAAGGCCACATATCATATGATTCCATTTATATGAAATGTCCAGAATAGGCAAATCTACAGAGATAGAAAGTAGATGAGTGGTTGCCAGGAGATGGGTGGTGTGGAAATGGGTGGTAACTGCTAATGGGCACAGGGTACATGAAAATGTTCTGGAGTTAGATAGTGGTGATTGTTATACAGCTCTATAAATATATTTAAAAACACACAACTGTACATTTTAAGATAACGAATTTTACGGCATATGAATTATATCTCAATTTTTTTAAAAAATGCATTGTTAGGACCATCCCATATTTTTTTAGTTCCATTTTTAAACTTCCCTGAAAACTCTTCCTAAATAGACTAAAGCTTATCTACAGAGCCACAATGCCAACAACATCGACTGGTCAAGGTAGTTATGTACCCAGCAACTATCCTCATTTGCTTTCTGGCCACTCAGTTGCCTCTTGGCATGGTGAAGACATGCTTAACACTCATTTGTGTGGGATCAAACAGAATAGAGTGTGGGTCACTAAACCAAGAAATTGCAAAGCAGAAAAGACCTAGAACAGAGAATGAAAACAAGGTATCCTATCCATGTATCATCCCAGATACCCCTTAGAAAATTTTGTGAGGACCAGAAAAAACACACTTTCTTAGTTGACAAAATTCCTCATCCTTAGGTCAAACATTCTAATTCCTCATATCTGATTTTATACATATGCTTTTTTTTTTTTTGAGATTGAGTCTCATTCTGTTGCCCAGGCTGGAGTGCAATGGCGTGATCTCAGCTCACTGCAACCTCCGCCCCCCAGGTTGAAGCGAGTCTCCTGCCTCAGCCTCCTCAGTAGCTGGGATTAGAGTCTTGTGCCACCATGCCCGGCTTTTTAATAAAATCTGATTAAGTTTTAACCCTTATACAGGAATGCCCTTTTCAAAAGACCTTGTTGTTTCAAAGTGTATGAAAAATGAAATATTTTTTAAAATTTCCTTTAGGGGACAATAGATAACACAACAGAAAGATGACCCACAGGTTAGATTCCTTAATTAGGTTCCTGTACACATCTATCATTACATAAAATATGAAGACATTTACAATCCTTTTCTCCCATACAAATGTCTGGAAACCTACCTATTACACGAAGTGGGATGCACCTAATTACTTCTTACATGCTATAGTGTTCCTATCTCCACCTTGCACTATAGCACAAAAAGATGCATACATAAAACATATGTTTAAGAAAAAGACACACAAGCATATGTGTGCCCAGTTTCTGATCTTTTTAAACGGAGTTAAGTGGGAATCTAATAAAAAGTGGTTTTCATTAAATTAGTATAAGCCAAATCTTAGAAAGAAAGCAACCATGACCCATCATTCTAACTTTAAAACTAGAATATTTATATGAATTGTATTATTTATTGTTTTTAAGAGCCTTCTAAATGGTAAGAAATACTGAATAAAAAATACAGGTAAGAGATTAAGTAGTTTATCTCAAAGCAAAAAATCTAAAGTTTCCACCTCTGTCCTAGGAAAAATTAAACAACCTTCACATAGATCTGAAAGCTAAGCCTCACACAGATTTTATGATTGGCATTTTACTTCAGAGTATATAGTATAAAAGCACGGATATGGTTTTGTTTTGTTTTTGCCAAATAGCATGGACATGGATATGGTTCTAAAAAATAAATATGTAAGTTAGGCATGGTGACTCACACCTGTAATCCCTGCACTTTGGTAGGTCAGGAGTTTGAGACCAGCCTGGCCAACATGTGTCAGTTTGTTCACTTTCTTTTTTCTTTTTTACTAAGACAAGGTTTCACCATGTTGGTCAGGCTGGTCCTGAACTCCTGACATCAGGTGATCCACCTACCTTGGCCTCCCAAAGTGCTGGGATTACAGGCATGAGCCACCACACCCAGCCAGTTTGTTTACTTTCAAACATATTTCCTAATTTTGTGTTTGTAATCCTAAAAAATCTCGTTTCAGAGACTACAAAACAAGTTACATATAAGATCAAGCCATATAAATTCAGGTGTGATAAAATCAGAATGAAGATGAAATGAGGTCTTCTTTCCTCTTTGGGTATTTTAATTTAGGATAATGTCTGACTTACTGGTACCAATATAGATCTCAGTGAAAACATTTCTGCCATGAAGACTGAGTTATGAGACACATCTGTAAGTATAGCTAAGGAAGAAGTGATACTTAATGATTTTTTTTAAAAGCAGCAACAGGCCAGGCACAGTGGCTCATGTCCATAATCCCAGTGCTTTGGGAGGCTAAGGTGGGAAGACTGCTTGAGGATAAGAGTTTGAGGCCAGCCTGGGCAACACAGTGAGACCGCTATCTTTACAAAAAAATAAAAAAATTAGCCAGCATGGTGGTGCACACCTATAGTCCTAGCTACTTGGGAGGCTGGGGTGGGAGGACTGCTTGAGCCCAGGACTTTGAGACTGCAATGAGCTCAGTCTCAAACCACTGAGCTCACCACTGCACTCCAGCCTGGTCAACCAAGCAAAATTCTGTCTCTAAAAAATAAATAAATAGATAAATAATGATAAAAGTAGCAACACTCAGGGAAGGTTGCAAGAAAATGCTGTTCCTAAAAAACCACAATGTCCATGAAGACAAAACCCTAATACATATTTTTTCACTTATGAACTATCACATCTCATTGTCTCCTTATAAATGGGTAGCTTAACTGCCACTTTTATCCAAGAAGCACATTTATCCAACATGCTTCTTAATGAAAACTGGTCCTATGGAAAGTCTGGAATCACCAACAAGAGATTTCACACTAGCTACCTAGTGAGTAGCATGAAGTCTGTGTGTATATGTGCACATGTATACGCTTCTCCTTGTCTCTTCATACAGAAGTTTCTCCCCCCAAATCTGTCAACAGTTTATGCCAAAGTCTGTAACAGACACTGTGGGGATATAAAAGTGTATGCATGAGAGAAGATCCCAGCTCTCAAGATAGTTATAATTTACTTGGGAAAACAGGACATAATCACATAAAGCGGTCCCAGTACCAGTAAAATTGATGGTTATCATATTTTTATTAGTAATATGAAGGTGCTATCATCTGCACATTGTTTGCATGAACCACAAAGCTTTAATCCAAATAGGTAAGAAAAAATAAATCCATGCCATTTATTTCAATTATGTTAGAATACAATAAATATACAATAAATAATCAAATTTCTTTTGAGTATGTAAGAAGTAGCATACCAGCAGTAGTAGGGAAGATAAGGCAAGATATTTAATGGCCAAAGTGTAACATAAGCTTAGGAAAGGAAATTAAGAGAAAGAAAACAGTTTTGCTATTATTATCTCAGTATGACATGACAAAGAAGTGGGATTTTTCTAGGCTCTTCTCGGAACCAAGAGGTGTGTGAAGATTAAACTGCTGGGCTAGGTTTCTAGAGATTCAGGTGTTAGCCCTGACTCTTTCACAATTATATCATCTCCTGCCCTGATTTCCTACCTGTAATAGTCGAGGTTTGAACTAGATCATGGCTAAAATTCCTTTAATGGACACTTCTGGTAAACCTCTATTTGATAAAATAAATCCAGATCCTCCATCCTACCCACCATTTCCCAATCCATGACAAAATTACTGTGTACAACATTTGATATTTTATGAATCTTTTGCTAATTATTTGTGTTATATATACTAACTTCTTTATGGTAACTGGTTTTGAAAAAGCAAAATTCTAATTCCTATTGCTAAAATTTAGTTACTAAACAATCATCACTTTTACATTATCTAGTCCTAATAATCTATCCAGATTAAGATGGCATATTATTCAATAGTCTCACAAGGATTTTGTGTAGCTGTGATTCACAATGGTTAAAGATTAGATCAAATAATGATGTATCCATTGCTTTTACTGGCTTAATATGGACCTAGCTACACAGCAACTAAGAGTACAGTAATATTTCACTTCTTCCTTTTTGATAATCCAGTGACAACACGTAAGTATGACTTTGGTACTAAATAGCTACATAAATATCCTTTCATCTGATAAGTCTTATTAAACCTCTAGTGTTTGGTGGAGAAAATTAAGAAAAGAAGAGGTTGTAATAGTGAGTTTTCTCAAACTAGTCATATTATAATTTTTATGTCCTTGTTTGTACATGTAAATATTAGGGCAGTCATCACCTAGAATAGCAATGAATTCAAATATTATCCAATAAATTCTAAACAACACAAGCTCTCTTCAATTCTTAAATACCTTTTGAGTCATTTCAGTAAAAAGATCAAAGAAATCCAAAGTGAAAAAGGGAGAACATACTCAAGCTTCCATGAAGCTGCACGATAAAGCAAGTAATTGGCACAAAAATAAAGCAAAGAATTGAGAAGTATGCTGGAAAAGTCATTCAAATACTATTCTTACTTGTATCTAGCTCCACTATACAGTTTAAATTTTGGCCAAATTTTTAAAGTATTTGTTAAACAGTTCCTGCATGTGACATATGTTTCCAGGATACTTCTGACATTGATATGAGAAATTATAAAACATTTAGAAATGAAAATGTTACTCTCAAACAAAAAACACCACAAGTTCCAAGCTTCTGAATTCATAAGATGGAAAAACCTTTGGAAAATAGTACCTTTCTGTTTTAAAATGTTCAAATAATATATATATTTTAAATGTGTAATCATTCAAGGAAAGGGGAAAACAAGTCTAAAATAAAGCAAGGTCCTCAAGTTTACTCCAGGACTCATTACTCTTCCTTTGCAGTCTCAATTCTATTTACTCCATAAGTAAACCGTTTTATCCCTTCGGCTGGGAAGGATAATTTTTACCCTACCAAGATGATGACAATGCCACTGCAGTGCTCGCTCACCCAGCAAGAAACACATAAATATGAAGTAGCATCAAGTCCTTCTATGAAGTGTATGCAAGAATTGATTTGCAATGCATTAATTCAGGAATTCAGTGGAGAGGCTCCTACTATACCTAGCGGATCTAAACTTGAGCTCATGATAACACTGCACGAAGCTATGGTAGATGAAAGTGATAGGTAATGCCAACAGAACAATTCCACTGACAACACAAACTCCTCCAAGAATTCTTCCAGGCACTGTGATAGGATACATATCTCCATAGCCAACTGTAGTCATAGAGATAATCACCCACCAGCAGGCAGCGGGAATGCTGGTGAAGTCCTTGTTGGATGTTTCCAGGTCCAGCCCATGTTCAAGAAGCTGAGAAAGTGCACTAAAGATTGCCATGGCAACACAAATGAAGACAAGTAACATAACCATCTCTCGGTAGCAACGTTTGAGAGTCAAACCGAGTGTCTGAAGACCAATGAAGTGACGGGCAAGCTTAATCACCCAAAAAATCCTCATCATTCTAAGCACCCTCAAGGTGACTCCAGCCCTCTGGAGTTGAGAGTTCTCGCCTGTAAACACTGTCATCAACACGGAGATGTAATATGGCGTGATTGCCAGTAAATCAATGATGTTCAGGGGTCTCTTGACAAACTCACACTTGTTTTTGGAGACAATGAACCTCACGATGCACTCCGCAGTGAACCAACCTATGCAGATAGCTTCAATTATCCTGTCAAGAGAACAAAAGAATTGATCATTTTATTTTTAAGCATTTTAATAGCTCTCAGATTTCTTCAGATAGTACTACATTGACATACTAATTCAGTTACTTTTCCAGAAAACATAAAGAACAGACAACATTACCAACATCATCAGACCACCAGGACGCATGCAACAGAACAACAAATCAATTCAGGTGAAAACTGAGGCCAGGTGCCGTGGCTCACGCCTGTAATCCCAAGTCTTTGGAAGGCTGAAGTGGGTGAATTGCTTGAGCCCAGGAATTCCAGACCAACCTGGGCAACATGATGAAACCCTGTTTCTACAACAAAAAAATACAAAAATCAGCTGGGTGTGGTGACACACACCTGTAGTACTACCTACATGGGAAGCTCAGGTGGGATGATTACCTGAGCCTGGAAAGGTCAAGGCTAGGGTGAGCCATGAATGCACCACTGCACTCCAGCCTGGGTGACAGAGAGACCCTGTCTTGAAAAAGAAAAATTCAACTTGATAAAGTTCTTACTTCCATACTGCAATACTATTAAAACGAAATATATATATATATATATTATTTATTTATTACTTGCCACTAATACTTTTTAAAAAATAGCTCTCTTATTTGGTGGTTTGAAATTAACTTATTCTCAGCTAGCTGCAACATGAAATTTAACTTACGCTTGGAGCACAGTGGTTCTCCGCTGTCATACCAGTTATGAGGTGGATGAGAAGGGCATTGTTCCTACAGAATGTGGACCTAAGTTTTTTGATGGGCTATTTCTTGGTAACTTATAGTCAATGTAAGATCACTTTCTGAAATGTTACTCTTCCCTTCCTTCCAATAGGCTTGTGTGGGAGACACTGGCACTGAGCAAGCTTATGGGGCACTGGGTGAGTGCCCTCACCAGGAACACACCAGCTCACAACCATCCTCAAAAGGCTCCCAGCAGAAACAAAGCCGAGGAATCCCACCCTGGACCAGAACAGCCTTTAGGATTTTCCCAAAGACCACAACTAGTTTGTCTTCCATCATCATTTTTACATAGTACATATTTTTTAAAGACCACATTTTACCTAGAGCAATATTTACCAGCCTTTCTGCACTACTGCATGCAATGAAAATAATCGCATTTATGCAGCACACTGCAGTCAAGGGGTAGGATTCTTTTTCTTTTTTTTTTTTTTGAGACAGTCTCACTTTGTCTCGGCTCACTGTAACCTCCAAATCCCGGGTTCAAGTGATTCTCTAGCCTCAGCCTCCCAAGAAGCTGGGACTACACGCGCATGCCACCACGCCCGGCTGACTTGTTTTTATCTTTAGTAGAGATGAGGTTTCACCATGTTCGCCAGGATGGTCTTGATTTCCTGACCTTGCGATCCACCCGTCTTGGCCTCCCAAAGTGCTGGGATTACAGGTATGAGCCACAGCGCCTGGCCTCTTTTTTTTTTTTTAGACAAAGTCTCCCTGTCGCCCAGGCTGGAGTGCAGTGGTACATTCTCAGCTCCCCGTAACCTCTGCCTCCTGGGTTCAAGCAATTCTCCTGCCTCAGCTTCTCCAGTAGCTGGAACTACAGGCATCTGCCACCATGCCCAACTAATTTTTGTATTTTGAGTAGAGATGGAGTTTTGCCATATTGGCCAGGCTGGTCTCGAATTCCATATCTCAGGTGATCTGCCTGCCTCAGCCTCCCAAAGTGCCAGGATTACAGGCGTGAGCCACCACACCCAGCCAACGAGTATGATTCTTGAAGAAGCCAGCATCCTGGGAGCTCTAGGCCCCCAGTCCTCAGCCCACACGCCCCAAAGCTGAGAAAGTTAAATTTCAACACCCCTGGCCCTGTGAGTGGTAATTTGAAAGTAATTTTAAATTTAATTATTATTATTTTTAATTGAGACAGTCTTGCTCTGTCACTCAGGCTGGAGTGCTGTGGCGCAACCTTGACTCACTGCAACCTCTGCTACCCAGGTTCAAGTGGTTCTTGTACCTCAGCCTCCCAAGTAGCTGGGACTAAGGCATGCGCCATGAAGCCCGGCACACTTTTTTATATTTTTTGTAGAGACGGGGTTTCTCCATGTTGCCCAGGCTGGTCTCGGACTTCTGACCTCCAGTGATCTGCCCACCTTGGGCTCCCAAAGTGTGGGATTACAGGCGTGGGCCACCGTGCTCAGCTCAAAATTTTTTAAATTCTAAATTAAAAGTTACAATTATTAAACCATCACTTGTTTTTCTCCACGTAATTCTTTCTCACCATTAACTTGAACCCAAACATTAGAAGTACAATGGAGAGAGAAGAAACTGGAGTAAGTGGGAGGAGAGTCGGTGGGGCAACATTTTGAAAAGAATTGCTCAGAGTGCATTCCACAGAAGACAAGGGGTACTAAATGTTACTCATGGAAATGAACAAACACAATTAACCATGTTTCCCTACTGTAGGGCTTTACGGGGCTATAAAGATTAACTTTATTAACTTTTATTTTCTGAATAGGTATTCACATTCATGTGGTTTAAATCACATGGTTTAAAAAAAAAAAGAAAACAGTATAGAAAGAAGTCTCAGGCCAAGCATGGTGGCTCATACTTGTAATCCCAGCACTTTGGGAGACTGAGGTGAGAGAATTGCTTGAGCCCAGGAGTTCAAGACCAGCCTAGGAAACATGATGTGGCCTCCTCCCTACAAAAAATGAGGCAGGAGGAGTGCTCCAGCCCAGGAAGCTGAGGCTGCATGAGCCGTGGTCACACCACCGCACTCTCACCTGTGTGTCAGTGAGGTGCCTGCCTCAAAAAGGAAAGAAAAGAAAAGTCTCACCTCTTACAGCCACCCAATTCCCCTCCCTGGAGGCAACAAATACCATCATTTTCTTATGCATCCTTCCAGAGCTATTTGATATATGTACAAACAATAAAAATTTTTACTTATATGTGTATATATATACAGATACGTGTATACACACATATATATGTATGTATCTCCTTTTACACAAATAGTTAGCATGTTATACTAACTGTCCTGTCTCGTTTGGTTAATATATCTTGGAGATACTCCCCATCAGCAAATAGAAATTTCCCTCATTTCTTAAACATGGTGACACAGTGTTCCACTGAATGTACTGTGATTCATTTAATCAGTCCACCAGATGAACATTAACAATGATGCAATAAATATTCTTTTTCTTTTTTTTTTTTGAAACAGGGTCTTACTCCCGTCAGCCTGGAACTCCCAGGCTCAAACAGTCCTCCCACCTCAGCCTCCCAAGTAGCTGGACTAAGGCACACACCACCATACCTGGCTAATTTTTTTTTTTTTTTTACTTTTTTTAGAGATAGGGTCTTGCTGTGTTGCCTAGACTGGTCTTGAACTCCTGGGTTCAAGCGATCTGCCCACCTTAACCTTCTAAAGCACTGGAATTACAGGCATGAGCCCAGCCAGTGCAATGAATACTCTTAGTTGTATGTAAATAATTTCCCACATGAGCAGATATATCAGTTGAATAAATCTGAGAGACTTGGAATTACCGGGTCAAAGACACATATATATTTGTAATTTCAATAGATCTTGCCAATCTACCTCTACAGAGATTGTACTAAATTACCTGCCCACAGGCAATGCATAGTGTCTATTCCCCATGGCCTCGCTAATGGAAAGTATTATTGAACTTGGAGGTCTCTCCCACTCTGAGAGATGAAAAGCGCTAACTTATTTTGAGGGAGGCAGAGCATCTTTGCACACATTTAAGGGCCTGCTCTGTGACCTGACTGAATCCTTTGCTCACAAAGCCTTTAATCTGCTCAGAAACAGTAGAATATCCTTCAGGGCATGCAGAGTATCAGGCCAGGACTACTGTTCCTTGAAATACCAGTTTTAGAAAACAATTCCAGAGCCTTTGCCTATAAATTTCTTGGTAATAGGGTTTGACAAACCATAGCCTGGGGTCCAAATCCTGCCCATTTCCCATTTTTTCTTTTCTTTTTTTTTTTTTTTAATATGGCATGTAATCTAAGAATGGTTCCTAATTTTTCCTCCACTGGTTTGAAATGGTGGCTTTTATCATACATTGAATTACCAATCATACCTGAGTAAAATTCTGGGTTTTCCACTTTCCAGAGTGCAAAGTTCAGAACTTCACTCAGGTATATCCGATCAATCCATTCTATCTTATACCATGCTGCTCTCAATTTTAATTACAGTTGACCCTCGAATAACATGAGTTCGATCACAAGGATCCACTTATAGGCAGTCTGTTTTTCAACCAAATGTGGAAAATATAGTATTCTCAGGAAGCAAAACACACTTATACAGAGGGCCAACTTTTCATATACTTGGGTTTCACAGGATCCACCGAGGGACTTGACTACATGCAGATTTTGTCATATTTGGGGGGTACTGAAACCAACATCCTACATATACCGAAAAATAACTGTACTTTGTTTTGATGTCTAGTTGAATGTATCACTCAATTTGAGTTCTTCCTTTTCAACATTGTCCTGGTTATTCTTTTTTTTCAAGACGGAGTCTCACTCTGTTACCCAGACAGGAGTGCAGTGAAGTGATCCTCAGCTCACTGCAACCTCCGCCTCCCAGGTTCAAGCAATCTCCTACCTCAGCCTCCAGAGTAACTGGGACAACAGGAGTGCACCACCGTGCCTGGCTAATTTTTAATTTTTCTAGAAGAACCTGGATTTCACCATATTGGCCAGGCTGGTCTAGAACTCCTGACCTTGTGATCCATCTGCTTTGTCCCCCCTACGTGCTGGGATTACAGGCATAAGCCACTGTGCCCAGCTGTCCTGGTTATTCTTAAGCATTTCCTCCTCCAACATGAATTTAATTTTTAATGATTTGGGGGAAGAAACAAAATCTAAAGAAGAAAGAAACAAAATCAAAGAAGAATTACATTTTATGACATGTACGAAATTTGCATTCAGTGGCCATAAATAAAGTTTTATTGGAACACAGCCATGCATACTCATTTACACATTGTCTATGGCTGTTTTCATGGCAAAGTTGAGTG